GTTCACACAACATGGGCACGAGTCTCCCCAAGAGAGGCAGGGTAATCCTTTCTCCCTTGACGGACGATGCAGCTTGTAGCGTGCACCTGTCGGGGTTCGCTTTTCAAACTTATCACGAGCTTTGATAAGTTTGTCGTTCCAAGCGTCACGACCTACATCCTCGAGATTATGGATGTAGGCGTTCCACGCTTGAAGCAGTGAGGGACCATCACGTTTGTGATTCCCACTGTACCATCGATGTTTAAAGAAAGCATCGATGAAGAAATCATTCTCAGCGCGATAGTCTTTCGCACTGGAGTCAAGGTGATGTATCCTTGACGAATCAAACAATCGTGTTCGATAACGATCACTCGTCGTCGCCGACAAGTGATCCATGACAGATTTGGGAGGCATCCATGCCTTCTTCTCGGGAGCGAGACGCAAGACATTGCGATCCCGCTCTTCCTGCGATGTGCCGACAGAAGTACTGGCACCTCGTTGCGAAGTGGTGTCCATAGGAGAACCGACACCACTGTTAGCACCCGAGTCTCGCGACCTCGAGCGCCTACGCTTCGGCGATGGTTCATCTGATTCATCAGATGAACCAAAGATGCTGCGACGCAAAGCATCGTCCATGCCACGCTTGGCAGGCGGCTTGAATTCAATCGCCGTTGATACGAATCCGTCTTCCGTATCAGGAGAGTATGAGACACCGAGCTCATACTCTGTGAAGACATGAGTGTCTTCATGACCAGCGCCTGCATCACCAAGTTACACAGGCTGAGTCGCTTCAGCAACCGATGAGACATCAGTTGCTGTGGTTTCTGCTTCGGCGTCCGCACAGAGACGTGCAGACGCGCTCTCGGCGGCCTTGCTCGCGGATCGCATGGGCTTGTTAACCATGCGATGAAATGCTGGAAAGTGGACTCGGACCACCAAGTGCAAACCCCGTCCCAAATGATTTGGGACGAGTATCCATTTAGTCAATCAGTCACTAGAGTGACTGATGGTTAAGGGGGCGGTGATGTAACGGGGTGAATCGTTACATAACAATTCATAAGAAATTGTTAATAGAATATAACTATGAGAGCTATATTCTCAGAATATTGTCATAAGGACAAATATTCTGTAGCACTTACGAGTAGTTCCTAATTGGTTGATATAGGCCATTATATCAACCAACGAAGACGCGCCACGACAGACGCACGCAATGAGTGGTGAGCAGATAACTGATTTACACATTTGTATTTAGACATAGTTAGATGAAGATAAATAGTGATTTATTGCAGACATTAACTATACTAAATACAGCTCTACTTTTTACTTTAGCCAAGTACTTGCTTCTTCTTACCGCCTTCCTCTGCACGTACGAGTGTACGTGAAGTTCTGAGGCACCGCCTTATTCTGTCATCAGAATAAGTAGCTTGTACTGTCACCAGTACAAGCTTCAGGGTGCCCCGTTACAGGTTGCGTAGGATCGAGTTGTGTACGCCAGGTGGTGAAGCGAGCGCAATTCACGAGTGCAGTTATTTATCAAAGTTCGCATTCGGTCTCAAACAACATTCCGGTGAATTGAAGTGAAGCAACTTAACAACACTATTGTCAAGGAGTCCTCTCCCAAATATTCCAGACCCATCTCCAGCTGATGGACGACGGGTTGCAAGGTATTGGTACCGGACTGAACGAGTGTGGCTGCAGCTTGCACTCGTTTCGCCGTCAATTCAACGATACCGACACACATCCGTGAGCGCAGGGAACCTTTTCAAAGGTGTTTACAAACTAATATACATAACGAAGCACCATTTGTATGCATATAGCGAATACACCACTCGTTATCATATCTCGTGTAATAAGTATTTCAACACGTATGCAAGATACAGAATGGAGGATTTGTAGTTGGCACCGCGGTCTGGGTGTCGTCGATGTCGTCTATGCGGTCGTTGGAGCCCTCAATGAATATAGACTTAGGAATGCGGTCGCGCGCGAAAACGTGTGCTTTGACTTTCGATGAATTTCTTTCTGCGCTCTGGGAGGCCAAAACTCAGCAGAACTCCGCAGTGCACTCTATTTTAAACTCTGTGACTATGGGGAAACTCACAGCTTGCAAAACGCTACACAGAACCCGTAATGTCAGATTTAAGCACTTTTACCTGTATTTACCGGGTGAATGGGTAACGAGATCGTCTTTATTATTACTCTACCCTCTACCTTACCCCTTGCCGACCCTTTTTACCCTTTTACATTAATTTTACCGTTTTATTGGGTAACAAAGGGTGTCTGACCTTACCTTGCCTACTGGATAATCAGGAAACTGGCGCTCTGCCCAGGCAATTCACCTATTTGTGCTTCATTTACTTCATGTGCGTTCTTCGAATGCATTGGGTACACCTTCGTATATCGCTAGTATCTGTCCACCACAACAAGGACCGACTTGTAAGCTTTTGTGCTCGAGCTATTCTTTAGAAATAGTAAATCAACGAAGATCACTTTGTTATGCTTCGTGATAGTTCGCTCCAAGTAGTGTAGATGAGAACGATCTCGCTCGATCCCAATGTGGCATGCTTCGCAGTCATCGAAGCCCCTTTTGATTAGTGACATTCCGTCAAACTGTTTTTCGATCTGCCATTATCGTCACGTATTGCAAATTGAGGTGACCTAGCCTTTCGTGCCAACGTTGGAGATCAGCGTGCCCATTTGCGCGCGTGTGATTCACCTGAGGATGTGAGAATGCTTTCTTGCATAGCGTCTCACTATTACCACTCATTGCTGGCTGATATTTATTTAAGGCTTCGAAGGTAAAGAGGCCGCAGTCATCTCTCTTGATGTCCAGTTTTGTTTTAATATTCTGCCGAAGCTCGTATATTTTTGCTCTTTTGCGCAATACTCCACAATAATATCTTGGTCCTCGGCTTTAAGTATGCGAAATTAAGTACATGCTGTCAGGAACATCCATACATCATACAGCGTTATGATGATGTGACGTGACCCTTTTGGATATTGAAGCTATATCTGCACTGTTTCCACGACCAATGGGCTTTGTCATAAATTGGCTTTGAAAACCACGCACGCTTTTCGTTCGTGCATCATCCAAAAACAACTCAATGAAGTATCGCGGGTGTGAAGTCACGTGAACATTTGAAGCATTATCAAGACACCATTCTCGTAGTGCACTGTCGCGGTCACTGCTGCTACATCCTTGAACGCTCTTGTCCACCGGCACTTTCTTTTTTACATCGACACTCTCACGTATGCCAACCTTAAATGCTTCACTCTGACCCTCAATCGTTTTTTCTGTGACATAGCTGTCATCGACTTCACTTGATCCTTATCGTCAGGATCAATCGCTCGATGGTTCGTAAACGCCGCGTTAAGGCTATTCACTTCTTCTTTCTTCATGACAGGACAGTTTCCCATCCGATGACCAGCCTTATGACAGTTGAAGCAGTTTCCTTGCCACTTGCCCGCCTTTCTCGTTGCACGTTGGGGATCACAGCTGCTTGTTACTCTCCATATGTGGTCTTGCACTGGTAGCACTATGCTTGTTTTTTTGCAGCTTGACTGCCTATATAATCGTGTACATTTCCAATGACTCCATGAGCACCAAGCTCCCAACCACACTTGTTGAAACCATCCATTCGCAAAATTTGGTGATTCAAATTTCAGATCCATCGACCTTGTCGTCCCACTCTCTACCATTCCTCGCAGACGATTGAAACGCGCGTTCGCCGGTAGCGATCGGATCATCATCCGTGAAGATTGGGTCACGAACACCTGCATTTAGTGCTGCCAGCTGATCTTTGATCATGAGCTTGCATCCAAGTGCTGCACTGTGTCCCAGTTGGACTTGGACTTCATCGTATTTAGCTTGTTGCACAGGATGATCTTTTGATTCGCTCGTGGTGCCGCGTTCGTTTTACTCTCGTAAAAGTTGGTAAGTACTTTCACATGTCAGTGCCACTTGTTTTGGGCAGCACACGCTGACCCAACTCCATTGAAAAAGAAGCGAGAATAATCTGCTTTCTTTTGACTTGCACTTCTTGAAATCCTTTTACTTCGACAACGCATGCAGTGGCAGCGAGAGTCCTGTCTTGTCTCTCGTAGCGTAGTCCAACAAACCTTTTCCCACAAAAGTCAATTTCATCATCTCCTTGTAGTACACCCAGGTCTAGCCATGCCATCCTACAGGTCGTCCATTCTTGCTGAGTACTACCTTGTTCGACATGGTGGGTCCAAAAACTTAGGTAGGTCCCATTTCTTGCGTCTTGCAAGACAATGGCCGGTTTAACGTTCGCCGCACGAGGTTTGCCTATACACGATCTCCTAGCAAACGGGGTCTTTCTTCTTCACACACACATGCTTAGATTCCTTGGTCTTGAGTGCGTTACAGTTCGTGAAATCTTGGTGCCTCGTTCAGGCTTGGGCTCATGAGCCTGTCGCAAATCCTTTAGCTTCGAGCTCCAGTGAGCTAGTACCATGTTCCTGTTTGACAGGATAACACTGGGAGTAGTATCCTATGACACACAATACTAGACTATATTTACTTAGCTCGGCTCTCTCTTGCTATAGACCACTTGCTTAGCACTTTGCACTTTGCAGACTGAGCTCTCCGCTCTTACATGCGCTTGCAGCTAACCTACTAACCGCTTCCTTCTTCTGCCGTCTCGTCCCGTGTTGTCGCCTCGTTCCGTTTCTGGTATATGCCATTTCCAACTGCTTCATGTCGAGAGGATATTACAATACAACACAGCAAACGCGATGTACATTGTTAGGAACCATGCAAGATCTAGTACACACCTCCACGGTGTTTCAAATCAAGAAGACAAACCCCATCATGGTGGTAAAATTCCACCATGCCGCACTTTACGCATAGCTTTTGATCACCTGACTCGTTTGACAAGAGTGAAAAGCGATTTGACCTCTCTTGCTCCGCGGTCTCTTCACATGGGGAAGATGCAACACAAATGCCGATACGATTCTGGGGGCGCCTCCAATCGAAAACGACAATGAAGACTCCCCGTCTGTCAATCACCGTCTGCAACGACCGTTTCTGTAGCCACCGGCGCCCCCTCCAGTTGCTCATCGCCCGTCTTCTCCACTGCCTTTGCGTTCATCTCATCCTGACCTTCATACATGTGCTGCTTCGCTTCATCATTCACAGTGCTGATTCGACTCAGCTCGTCTTCGAAATTGGAAAACTGCAACCGAATCTGGTTGAGACTATCCTGAACGTCGGCGTGTTTCGCATCCATCTTCTTGTGCATCTGATACAAGGCCTGCTCTGATAATGCTAGACGTTGGGACAGCATCGACAATTTCGCGTCGATCACTTGTTTTACTTTCGTCTCCATTTTCTGCTGGAAGTCTCTCAGAAGTACCTCAACATCCAATATAGGCGCTGTGCTATGACCGCGTTGATCCTTATGCATCGCGGCTGCCACCTCTGCAGTACTGTCACACCATCAACACTGTCAGATACGATAAAACCGATACTTCTGCAGGTGCATACCCGCGTTTTACCTGAGCTCATCGGTTTTAGCCGGTTTTACCGGGACGAAACCACACTGAAACTCGTGTACTTTCAGTACACTTTTGTCTCCCGTTAACGATACGAACTTGACATGCAACGCGCGCACGCTTCGAAGCACGTCACCGGTTCGATCGCTCTGCGTGATACGTGGTGACATGACAAAAAGCGGCGGCTCGGAACTCTCCTTCGTGCCTCGAAAGGTGCCCAAATACACTTCGCATAGCTCGTCTTCGCCCAGCAAATTGCGCCTCGTGCTTTCGACGTAGAGCTCCACGTGACGGGCGGAACATCGGACCTCGAGCTGGAGATCAGAGCAGCATAGCGGGTGCTGCGTCCAGAGCAGCGAGAGTTTGCACGGTACGACGACGTTATCTGCAGGGTGTGTTAGACGCAGCGGGAGAGGAGTGAGAGAGAGGGTGGTGTCACTCGCGAGCTGCACATTGACATCGCCAGCGGCGGACCACGAGGAGCGCCACGTCACATGTGACATGCCAATTAGCAAATCGATTCTGGGTGATGAGTGCAAGTGAGACGAAAGATGTCTGCCTCGTTGCGATCCGGTATCCAGCGGTATGCTTGTTGAGGGGGCATCTATTTTAGCGTTGTTCGCTCTAACCTCTATTTGGTGCTGCATCGAGAGGCGAGCCATACCAGTGACCCCTTTCGACCTAAAATAGCATACCACCTCGCTCTATTAGGTCACTGGTGTCCTCAACCTGCAACGTCCTCGCCCCTCGATTGCAGCTTCAGAGTCTAGTCGGGTTCCGGCTGCTGTTGTTTTGGGCTCCGTCCGTCCACGTGTCGCCGTGCCCTAGCGACAAAGCCATTCATTCGCCTATTGTCCGCCTCTCTCTCGCTCTCGCGTCTTCACTCCCTTACGTGAAATGCTCGAGTACGACAACTCGGCGTTCTACTACTTCTCCGTCTCGCTCTGCGCGCTGTACGTGGTGCCCGTGACGTTCCTGTCGCTCCGCCGCATCCTCTACGGCGTCTTCCTCAAGGACCGTCTGCTCGACAAGAGCCACGTGCGCTGCGAGCGCGAGCTGCGCAAACTCAAGCAGCTCCAGGCCGAGAAAACGGCGTTTCGCAATGTGTTTTCGCTCCCCTTCGTCTTGAATTTGCTCGTGCTTGTGGCCGTGTGGTACGGACTCGTGCGCATGGCGCTGCTGCTCAAAGACGACTCGGAGATCAAGTCGTTCGACCCGTTCGCGATCCTCGGGATCTCGGTCGGCGTCTCGGAGCGCGAGATCAAGCGCGCGTACCGCAAGATGAGTCTGTTGTACCACCCGGACAAGAACCAAGGCGACGCCGTGGCGGAGCAGAAGTTCATGCTCGTGGCCAAGGCCTACGAGGCACTCACGGACGACGTGGCTAAGGCCAATTACGAAAAGTTTGGCAACCCTGATGGCCGTCAAGCCATGCAGCTCTCGATTGGGCTGCCGACGTTTTTGCTCGACCCGGCCAACCACAATCTCGTGCTGTTTTTGTACTTGCTCATCCTCGTGGTGGCGATCCCGAGCTGCGTGGCGCTCTGGTACTCGCACTCGAAGAAGTACGGCGACAGCATGATCATGTACGACACGTACGGCTTTTACAACTTTGCCATGTCGCAGAACTCGCACCCTCGCATGCTGCCGGAGATTCTCGCGGGCTCGGCCGAGTTTCGCGAGATCCCGCGACGATCGACAGACGAGGCTGAACTTGCAGCACTGGCCAAGAAACTCAAGCAGACGGACATGATGGCCAAGCCCAAGTTTAACCATCCGGCAATTACCAAGGCCAACTTGCTGCTGCATGCCCACTTTCTGCGCGAGGAGCTTAGTCCTGCGCTGCGAGGAGACCTCAATGCGATGTTGAAGAAAGCGATTCAGTTGGTGGATGGTATGTTGGAGATCTCGGTGGTGAAGGCATGGCTACAAACTTCGCTGAATCTCATGGAGATGCAGCAGTTCTTGACGCAGGGATTATGGTTTAAGGATCCACCGTTTCTGCAGCTCCCACATTTGACAGAAGCAGAGGTCAAGCACATTGTCACGGGCAAGAACGCCGTGCGCAGCATGCACCAATACATTGCCACGAAGCCAGAGGAACGCAAAGGTCTGACGGGGCTATCCGAAGAAGACCGCGCTGAAGTGAACAAAGTGCTGGAAATGATGCCCGACATGGAGTTGGCGATTACGATTGATGTGGACGATGAAGAGTTTATTGCTGAAGGCGACATAATGACGGTAACTATCAAGCTCACCCGTAAGAATGTAAAGGAAGGCGACACATGCGACCTAGTGTACGCGCCTCGGTTCCCTTACCCGAAGATGGAGCGCTGGTACTGTGTGGTGGGCGACTCGAAGATGAACCACCTGCACGCTTTTTCCAAAATGACATCGCAAGAGCGGGTGGCTGAGCAGAAGTTACAGTTACAGGCTCCTGCCAAGGCCGGTACCTACCAGTTGGATGTAATTGTCAAGAGCGATTCATACGTCGGCATGGACTTGCGCGCTCTTGCTAAGGTTCGTCCCTGTGATCGTGCGTGTTGATACCCCGGCCAGATGCTTGAGTGCTGATCATGTGTGTTGTCGTTTGTTTGTTCTGCAGTTTACCGTTGCTTCTGCATCCACTTTGCCGGTCTACCAGCCGCATCCCGAGGACTTGGAGTTAGATAACGAGCCTACACTGTTTGAGCAGGTGATGAATGCGGCGGACTCGAGTGATAGCGAGGAAGAGGACCCGGACTTGGATCAGGAGGCGGCTGAGAAGAAGGCCGAGGAGAGTAAGAAGGACAAATAGAGCGCACGCGGCTGGTCTGCTTGATTGCTGTGAATGACACGGTAGCAGTGATGAGTGATACTTGGCGTTTGTTGTCGCGTACATTGTGCTTGCAGCGTGGATGTCTGTTTCCTGACAGATGAGGCCCTCTCTATATCGAGCAGCATAGTGGACAGCTTTGTGAGAGACCTACGTGACCGACCGACACGTCGAGAACTCAGTAGCTGACGCGGGTATATCCGTATCAGTCGACTGCTCAGCTGGGCAACGTGACGATTGTCAAGTACCACGATCCCAGCGCGAACATTTCTCCACAATAGCAGCTCTGTTTCACTACTCTTGAGCCAGTCTCAATGGCAATCCCCAATGACTGGCACGCCGTCCGCAACAAACGAAAGCTACTCTCTGTGCGGCTCAACTAGGACAGCCAGCTGATGATGCGTGCAACAGGCTGCACACAAGTGGCAAATAGTTCGAGTGCCGTCAACGAAGCCTCAGCCTCTCGATCCGACGGAACCTCTTGCAGCAGCTGCGACGCTCACGAACATCGTCTAGAACGACAGTTGCTGCAAGAGAGACGTTTGATGTCCGTGGTTTGCTTGTTGGTGGCTAGTACGCAATGTGTATGTAGATCCTGCGCCTCTCTTCTTCTTCGTTTCCACGCAAGCACAAGCGCCGAGCGTGTTCAATTGCTATCGATGGCGATCCGGCTGGTACGTGCAAACTTGGACGGAATCCTCCAGGCTTTGACTGGCTGCACGTCGGAGTGCAACGTCAATCAATGGACCAGCTGCTATGCAGCGGATAGACGCAAGCGCTGGAAAAAACTCGACAAGATCGGACGATTAGTCAAAACTCATACACTCAGAAGGTGCGTTTGACGAGTGGCAAGTCCAAAGATCGGGGCCAATTGCAGCTGGACGCTGCAAAAGTGACGACGGAAGGTCGTGCGGCCATTACGTCCGTGTGTATCAGGAACCGCCGCCGTCTCCACAATTTCGAGGCCACAGAAAAAGGCGCTGCTCTCTCTCTCTCACTCTCTTCCTGTCGTTCGTACGCAGCAGTTGCTCGAGTTACAGGCCACTCTAGCTCTGCTACGAGGTGGAGCCATTCCGGTGTAAACGACCGACAGCGTCGGAGCCGTGGGAACAACCAACCTCCAGCTACTAGACGCCAAGGGAGTACAAGCCAAGCCCAGCCAGCTGCAACCTGTCCGCCTCGTGCAGCACGAGTCCCACTTCTTTTCCATTTGATGTGGTCAGCCGCTCCCAAATCACGTCACCATACAGTAATCCAGTCGCCCCAGCAGCACCACATCGCACCACACCACATCTTGCCACACACACCGTCGTCTGACTCTTCACGGGGTTAGGCTCTCGCACGACGCACTTCCCACTCACCATCCACACACAGTCAATAGCATCACCACCACCACCACAAATAGAGACTCAGTGAGTGAGTGAGTGAGTGACCAACCCCCGACCGATCGACCGGCCAGCGGTAATACCGACGGATACTGCAGTTACTGGTGGTCTCTCTCTCTCTCCCTCTCTCTCTCTGCTATACCCGACGGTGACGCTGTGAGTATAGGGAGGTACCCGACGGACATGATGGCAGGTCTCGCCGTGCTCGTAGCCCTAAGCGTCGTGCTCTTCGTCGGAACGATCGTCGTGCTGCTCTTCTTCTGTCGTCGCATCCAACTGCAGCGGGCGCGCGAGTCGCTCGTCTTTATCCAGGAAACAGCTGACGTCTACCGCGAGGAGCTCAATGACAGTTTCACAGAGCAAGCGTTGTGGCGATGCGGCGTGTGCAAGTTCTTGAACCATCCCGAGCGGAAACTGTGTGACTTGTGTCAGACCTTGCGTGGAGCAGAACGAGACGTGGCGAGTTACAAGAACCGCTCGAGACGCAGTCTGAGCGCGAGTTCCATGCAGAAAATGACACGCATTGGCGAGATGGAAGCGTTCTCCTCGGCACGAGCTGATGACGCCATTGGTGGGTCGATTGGTCGCCCGAGTTTTGAGTTTCCAAGGAAACCGCGTTTGTCGAAAAGCAACATGAGCAAACTGCAGCTGGCAGCGAGTCGACGGCAGCAGTGGAAGCGAATGCCGACTACGGACGGCCTTCATCGATGGGTACGCCAACAATCGGTGCGGCGAAGGTCGAGTGCTTTTGCACAACGGGAGTCCATGGAAATTGACCCGGGAGGGAGGCTGTCGCTGAATCGGTATTTAGATTCGACGGAGAGAGACAGCAACTTATCGGTGGGGTACATTCGCGTGCGAGATTCGTTAGGGAAGTTAGTATTGAATGAAAGCGACGTTGTGGCAACGGATTTCCACTACCGGATTAAAATACTGGATGGTACCGGCAGTTCCGAGCTCATTATGAATCTCGAGGGAGTTCACAATTTGCCATTTCCGGATAAGATTCGCTGGTTCTCGACGGAAATTCATCGGTTGTGGCTCCCCTGGGAATCTGGACACGCAGAGCTGGTAGTGCGGCGAGATCATTTGTTGCAGGACTCGTTCGAACTTGTGGGAGCGATGAAGCCGTATCAGTTGAGGCAAAGGTGGCGTGTGGTGTTTGAGGGAGAACCGGCGTTGGATGCAGGTGGCGTTATGCGTGAGTGGTACACGCTACTTTTCGCTGAGCTTTTTGATCCGACGTTTGGTCTTTTCGTGAGCACAGTGGGAGATGAGCGAAGTTATTGGATCAATGCGAGCTCCGACTTGCTTCTTGGCGAGGATGACCACTTGGCCTACTTTGAGTTTGCCGGACGGCTCGTGGGTAAAGCGATTCTTGAGGAGCATTTGATGCCGGTGCATCTTGCGCTGCCATTCCTGAAACATATTTTGGGCGTGCCGATTTCCTTTTCCGACTTGCAATTTCTTGACGATGAGATCTATAATAGTGCGTTGATGGTGAAAAAGATCGATGATATTGAACCATTGTGTTTAGACTTTACCGCTACTCGCGTTGTGGATGGCCGTGCGGACGTTGTGGAGCTCGTCGATGGTGGCGCTAGCATCGACGTGACTCGAGAGAATCGCTCGCGTTACTTGGATGCTCTCTTCAAGTATCATGTGCTAGAAAGCGTGAGCGGCCAACTGCTGTCTTTTCTTACGGCGCTGTACGATGTAGTGCCTGAGGGATTGCTCAAAGTATTTGACTACCAAGAACTTGAATTACTCATGTGCGGAGTGCCATCGATCGACGTGGAGGATTGGAAGAAACACACGGACTTCAAGTTCTATTCGCACAACTTCCCCACGGAACTCGAGCTTAACAACATTGAGTGGCTCTGGGAAGTAGTGGAGGACTTGAAAAACGAAGACCGCGTTCGTTTGTTGCAGTTCACGACAGGCACTGGTCGTGTTCCAGCGCAGGGGTTCAAGGGCTTGATCAGTAGCGACGGTCGTGTGAGACGTTTTAATGTTGCATTTTCCGGCAGAGACCAGTCGTTTTTATTCCCAAAGGCGCATACGTGTTTCAACCGTCTGGATCTACCAATCTACAACTCGAAGGAAGTGCTGGCGGAGTATATCAACTTGATTGTTCAGATGGACATCACCGGTTTCACAATCGAGTGAGCGGCAATGCGTTTGGGTCAAATTATTTATTCAGCAAAAGCAGCGGATGGTGAGCAGATGCGTGAGTTGTGCAGATCGACACCGGAGAAACTGTCAGCTGCACGGTCGATTTTCTGCTGCGTAGAATGGAGGGGTCACGAGCCGTTATGGATGTCTCCCGGAGTAAGACATTGTGAAGTGTAAGTTCGACAAGCAAGCTATAAAGGACTGATAACAGTTTTACCAAGCTACAGAACACTCGCGAGCAGAAGCATATACTCACTCGCTGCGCCTGCCAGATCCAAGTGGCTTTGATCCTCGAAGACTGCGATGGTCCCAATCGCTAGACAACGCTGCGGCCAACACCAAGATTACTGCTATTGCTGCCCACCTACGAAGACCACTCTTACAAAGATGTATGAACAAGGTGCGACAAAGCTGTATCGCACATCCAACCACAAAAGCTGGGTCTACACAATGTCACACTGGCACTGGTATATCTTCGAGCACGTCAATGCAGGTGATCAAGCCTGGCGATCTTCATTCAGCTGCTGTGACGAAGTCGTCATTGACTTGGTCTCCCATGTTTGACAGACATTGCAAGCAAACTCAGGAAGCATGATACTATCGTGGTGTCTGGCAAACGAACGAACCTCCCACGATTCCAGCACCTATGGGCGGAAATAGTGAGTTACAGATACTCTGACAAGAATTTTGAAGCTCAAAAGAAGTACCCGCGGGATCGAAGCGTGATATCCGCATATGCAGAGAATTGTAAAAGACTCTGCCATACTGCCGACACGACTTACCAAAGGTCTCGTGAAGGCATACGACAATGAAGATTACTACATTGGGCTCCACGCCGGCGAAAAGCGTGTCATGACGGTGTGCTGTTCTGTCGTGGCCTTGTCGCTAGGAGCTGCCGAACGCTTTATGTAGGACCTCAAAAAACGCTTTGAAAGTCGACGTGGATGTGGCGCGCATGGAGTCACGGGTGGCGCGACGCAGAGAACGCACAAAAATGCGGTTTCCAAGGTGGTGAGATGTCATATGGCAAGGACAGCGTCACGTTGTTCCATTTCCCCAAACGCCTGATGAGGATCAGGCGTTTGGTCCTCGCCTGTTGGATCATCATGCGTGGAAATCTGCACAACATCTGTGACGATTGTCGCTTTGAGTTGTGTGATATCTTGGAAGATGCATCCGAGACCCGCAACTTGAGAAAAGCGCGGAGAAAATGGGTGTGACGTCGGGTCGTTCTCAGCGAATGGTGTCAAGATTTTTAGCGTAGCAGCCTCGTTTCAATTTGCATAATTGAAGTGGAGCAGAAAGATCGTTGCGTGACGAGACAACAACTTATAACACTTGGTGTCTAGGCGTTCTTCCATCTTTTTCGGACAGTGTACATTCATGTGATCCTGGTAATGGTCTGACGGGTGATAGAACCGTAGTCATGAACAATGTGGTTTGACGCTTATTCTGTTTACTCGCTCTTCTCATCTCAGAGTGGTAAGATGACAGGATCTTCTACTAAGTTGTTCCGGGACAACCGTCCAGTAATAGCGTCACGTGATCCGTGCGTATTTTACGCAATCGGTCGTGGGATGTCTATCCAGAAAGACATTCTAACAGGTACAAGATTTCTCTCGTCGACACCACACAAAACAATGAAAATCTCCAGTCACACACACACACAACCCAGTCACCGCGCAAACGTCTGCGTGGGTGACTCTTGGTTTGCATCATCATGCCAGAAGCGCGACCTTGCGATGGACAAAGCTCTTAATCATATGCACAGAACACAACAATAATGTCGACCTCTCGAGCATGCAAGGAATGGATAGATAAACACGTCTATCATCGAGTCAGGTTCATAAGAGCATCAGCCTATGTTTACCAAGGGATATATGCAAGCAGAAGGTGAAGTATGCTAACATGAGAACAAAGGTCACTTCTTGATCGGCAGGCAGCTGCAACGAGGGACGTGGACGAGACCCTCCGGGGAGCCAGGAACCTGGTGCTTATAAAGGAGCCAGTAAACTGGCTCCCTAAAGCGGCCAGTTTATCTCCGCCTTAAAAGAGGAGGGTTTCTCCTCGCTGCGTGCGCTACGGGAGGCAGCGCAGCGTGCAGCTCGAGAGAGAAGTGGTCTGCAGGATATCCTAGTGTAGGGCACTCGACGATGGATCGTGCCACCCTGCAAAACGAAGAAGATCCTTCTCCTTGCGGTCTGCCTACAACCCGCCGACACCTACGCTAAGCACGAGCCCGATCACACGAAGAGAACCCTCCTAAGACCGTGATTGTAACGGGGCTCCCTTTGTTTGGGGTGCCACGAAACTTTGCGTACACTAGTACGTGCAGAGGAGGCTAATCTACTCAAACAGCTAGTTTAAGTAAATGGTAAAATAGAACTCTACTTAATATAGTTAAGCTATCAATATAACTTCAGCCTTTATCTAACTATATAAATCCACATTGTCGTATGACAACCTGCTCATTACTTATTGCGCGCGTCTAGCAGCGATTGGTGGTAATCAACGGTTGATATGTCTTTGATCAACCATCTTCGAGCAGCACGTGAACATGTTATTTTAAAAGGGGATAATATTCCTTCAATATGATCCATCTCGGGTAATATCGGCAGGAAATTGTCACGCAAGACAATCTTCTTATTGACACCGTTTGGTGTCAATATCATGTAACGGGCTACCCCGTCACATAACCCCCCCTTAACCATCAATCACCCAGGTTATCGGATGTAACTATTTGGGACAGGGTAATCACCGTTGGATCACTCTGGGAAGGGGAGCACCTGTTGGTCAAATTCCAGCTCATTTGCCAATTCATCGCATGGTGTCAAAGTCCATGCGGTGCGCTGCCGAAGCAGTCAGGAAGGCGGTTGCACGCTTGCGTGTAGCCGAAGAGAGTACTTCTCTTGCTTCATCATCAGGTGATCCTTCACCTGCTGCTGCAATTCAGCAACAGGCGGTGGCTGTTGTAACTAGTTCACGCGATTAGACACCACGTGCGACAGAGACATCCGCTGCGTCTGCAGCGTGTTCTGCGACTCGCAATGCAGATCAGCCTGAATTAGAGCTCATCTATTCTGGCGAGTCGGATGATGCATCCGACTCGAAGGCGACGCCTCCTGCTCCGGAAGATCCGGGGCGGACACTGCAAGATCCAGGTGGACTGGCTCTGGGCAACGTGGCAGCATCACGTCCGAGATCTTCGGACCGAGAGTTTCGTCTGACGAGTTCTCGTCTCGCGCAAGTCCATCCGACGATAGGACGCGTAGCGATTGTGGTGAAGCACGTAAACGTCACCACGATGGAGCAACTCGAGAAATCAGTTGCCACTGGTGTCAGTGATCGTGTTTACACCACTCAAGAGGCCAGGGACCGCAATATCAAATGACACGCTTCTCAAGTGTAGTCTCCTTGGATGCCATCATCCCAGGAGTTGGATCGAGTGGCCGGTATGACCACCGTACGGGATTGAATCCCGTTGTTTGATTGTAGTAGGATCTGTCCTCCGGATTCCAGCACATCAGCTATCCGTGCTGAGAAAGAGTTCTTCACCGATATGTTTTTTAAGCATCGGTGGTACAACAGCAACCGTGGTCGAGACGGTAAGGCCTTGGTGCAAGGATAGAATGCATTCATCCATAAGATCGAGTGCATTGGACGTGAGGCCTAGATTGGTTACTTGATGCAGCTTGCATCAGGTTGGAGAAACGCAACCCAGTCGGGGCGCGATACAAGTTGCACCGACTGTCAAGATCGGCAGGATTACCCTGTCTCTCGTGGGGTGATTCGTGTCCAGGTTGCCTGGACAACTCGAATTGTGCCCCTAGGGAGGCCTACCTCCTCAATGATACCTACTGGAGGGCGCGTATCTCTTCCAAGATGGCCGAAGGGATTGACACCTTGCAATACCTGTACTCGCGTTCGGGGAGGTCGTTTTCCGACGGCACTTCTTCGAACGCAGCGGGTGGGTCTCGTCATATTGCTCGACGAGACCCGGAACATCAACAGTCAGCTGGGCGCGAGGATCCCAGCTGTCCCACGCCGGTGAATAGCCACTCCAGCGGACAAGGCAACTCTTCCGGACGCCATTCACGTCGCAATGGCTCAAATACGCTCCACTTGGAAGCGTTGAACACCGCTTGAGTCCACCAAAGAATGTGGTGGAGTCGGGAACACCTGATTCGGCTCGAGGGTCGGATCAGCTTGAGGTTCAGAAACTAACCGTGTAACGGAACAGTTACACAATGACCTGGATCATGAAGCTACTCGGCGTTATGAGCTTCATGATCGTGTAAAGGATAATTACAATTCCTTAGTTCACGATCGTTCAAACGATCGTGCCGCGTTTGCATTCGCTCAACTTGAGAACGAACATTCGGCTTGACCTCTTCGTGACGAGCTGACTGCAGCTCGTCAGGACATCGCTCAACTGTGTGAGCAGGTCGCTTCGCTGGTCGACCAGACTGGCTCGTTGAAACGGGACCACTCGAAGTTGGTCTCGGCCCTTGACCGCGGAGGTGTTCTTCGCCTCTCGAAGTGGGCTCGTACTGATAGTACGGGCGGAGACGACCAACGTAAAACATAGTATTCGTGCGCATCTTAAGGGCAGTTCAATCGTGTATGCGTTGCCTGTTCGGCGCAACACACGAAATGGACCGATGTACCTGGGCAGTAATTTGCTGCTGCCCACGTTTGTCACTGCGTGCTTTGGTAAGTTTACTGTAGACAGTAAAACTTGGCCTCCTATATTAAATCAAATAACATTTGCTCTTCCATGTTTGTCTGCGTTTCTCTTCTGTCTGTCTTGTGCATCAGCAAGAGAGTCTTGAACGAAGCAGACAACCGCTTCGAGAGTTAGCAAACATTCCTCTGCTGATTCATCCTTGTCAACAGCAGTGCGCTTCGTGCGCACTACTAAAAGGACGTGGTCTTCACCAGTGAGGGTGTCGTCGTCCTCACTTTGGCGGTCATTGGCGATGCTAAATATGCCAGCATCGTCGATATCGGCATCCATCACGTCGACATCATTGTCGACGGGCGATGAGCAAGAACCAGATCGGTTTTTGTTCTAGCGAGTCCACCCCCCCTAATCTAGAGTCACACTCTAAGAAGGCGGGTAAACGGGGATGGCGTAGGCCATTCACGAAGAACGATGTATGCGTTGTCGACGCGTGCACCGAGTTGTTGATGGCTAATTCTGCCATCGGCAAGAACTCACTCCTGCTTGTAAACGAGTGGACATACCCTCGATGTATCTCTTCTAGAACGAGGTTGACGCGTTCCGTTTGACCATCTGTTTCGGGGTGGTCAGAAGTCGACATCTACAAACGTGTTCCAAATGAACGGAACACGGATTGCCAGAACTCCGCTGTGAAGAGGGGGTCCCTATCGAACACGAGTTCACGGGGTAACCCGTGAAGTCGGAAGATAGTATCGATGAAGACACGCGCACAGCCCTGGGCTGTGATTGATTCCGGTACTGCAACAAGATGTACCATCTTGCTAAACCGATCAACAAACACAAGAATACCAGTATTCTTGTGAACGTCTTTGGGAAACTCGAAGATAAATTCCATCGATACGGACTGCCAACACTCTTTCCGAATCGTTAGAGGCTGCAAGGGTGCACGGGATGAAGGACTAGGCTTCACCCGTTAAAATTTTTTCGCAATGACGAGTGTATTTGCGCAAAAACTCATACTGTCGGGGCCAAAAGAAGTCACGACTTACCGTGTGGTAAGTCTTTTCTCTACGGCGACGCCCACTTTTTGGGGCACCGTGACACTTAGACATGATGCGCAACCGCAAATCATCATGAGCGGGAACGACTACACGAGGTGTGTCGGCGGTGAATGCTGTGTAGTACAGCAGTCCATCAAGGACAGAATACCGCTCGGTTGAAGAGCGGTATTGAGACGTCCAGCTTTTCAAGGCTTAACTGCGTGGAATTGATGCATAATCCATCAATCGCAAAAGAGACTCATCTTCTGCTTATTCTCTTTGCACGTCATCGAGAAGATTCGACGACGGAACACTCACTGTTAGTGTCGCGACAGTGGGATCACGCCTACTGTTGGGTTTAGCAGACGTCTCGAAATTGGGCCGACGCGAAAGAGCATCAGCGACGACATTAAGTCGTCCTGGTCTATACTCGACGGAGAAGTTGTACTCTGCGAAGAAAGACAGTCACCTCGCCATTCGTTGCGAGAGGTGTGGACTGTTTACGGCCGTGCGTAATGACGCATGGTCGGTCTAAACGGTGAAGGGTTTATCTCCTAAGAGATATACCCGAAACTTAGCCAGTGCAAATTTCATGGCAAGGAGTTCCTTGTCATGCACTGGGTAACTACACTCAGCTGCTTGCAGCTGACGCAATTGAACAGACGACGCGCTCAACGCCGTCTGAGTCGTACTGCATGAACGTGCAGTCGATTTCGAAATTGCTGGCGTCACAGAACACATGGAATGGTCTGTCCTGGTCTGCAACCGCCAACACAGGCGATTGAACAAGCTTTTCTTGATACCTATGAAGGAGTGCTGACAATCAGCACCCCATGACCACCTCTCGTTTTTCTTTAGCATACAAGAGAGATGAACGATCATCTTTGCGTAGTTGCGCGAGTACTTGTGCACGTACGTCGCTAATCCAAGGAGCTTTCGAAGTCCCGTAACGTAAATGGCACAGGCAAGTTGCTAATCGCCTTGATCTTTTCTGGATCAGGACGTACATTGTTTTTACCCACAATGCAGCCAAGAAGTGGTATATTGTTCGCTGCGAATATACACTTCTTGAGGTTCGCAAACAACTTATGCTCACGCATAAGTGTAAGAACCTTCCGGACGTGGATTCAATGAACCTCCACATCCGTCTTCCATACATAGCCCGGCTATGGACGAATACATCGTCGAAGTGACTCGGTGCGAAATCTCGCACCGGTCTCAGCAGATTTGTAAAACATCTGGTGAGTGTGTCAGGAGCGTTATTTAGCTCCTTTGGCATCACTAGCTACTCCCAGAGTACCACTGGGGGTGCTCACCGCTGTGTACGAGATGTCCCGCTCACGCATGAGGATCTGATAGAACCTATCCATCAGATACATGGACGAAAAGATGATACTCTTTACCATACCATCATGATGACGTCCTTCCTTGGTATCGGCGTCTGAGCCGGTACCGCTGTAGCGTTCAATTTGTTGAGCGCATGCACTATCCGCCACCCTCATGTGACCTCTAGCACATAGAAGGTCGGAGAGCTGTGTGGGGATGTTGATTACCTCACATGATTAACCGCTAAACGATCGGCAAAGAATTTGTCAATCACTAACACATATTCACGAGGCAGTGACCACTGCTTCCTGACACAGTACTTCAAGCCCGATTTAAGCACGATATCGTGTCGAGTGTCTTTGTCTTTAGGCAACTTGCATGGCACATTTTTTACTATAAAACACTCTTTAAAATTCAAATAAAATCTTGTACAGTGAATTAGCCTGTAGCGACTCCCAAGATTGAGACGTGTATCGCTCAATCCGAGTCTTCTCATTGAGGACACTTGCGTACATCGATGAGCTGCTGAGAATTCGTTCGTATTCAGCAAATACAACTGCCGACCGATTTTTGGTCACGTACTCGTCACTTGTGATCAGTACGCAGATCTGATGTATCTTTTAATTATGTAAATCTTGCAAGAACCGTTTCGGTTCTAGCGTTGGATATTACGTGATCTGTGAAGTCAATTGTGGAGGCGCGATCAGATCCAGCGCCTACTCTTTGCCCGTCATTAATTAAGATTTTAATACATCGGTTTTTCCTGGAAACGCATTTCCACAGGCTGATGGGAACTTGTTCTCTCAGATTGATGAGGTCTCTTTAGCTCATTGATAACATCTTGAGGAATTTCTTCCTCAAGTACGAGGGGGCGAATTCCATCAGTTTCCTTCTGATGTGGTTGCGCTACCACATCTAGGACCTCCAAGATCGACTCTCGAGCCGATATAGGATCATCATGTTGCCCAGTGTGGGAACCGGGTTGATTATATCTTACATGCATCCTGATAGGCGTCCGCCCATGTCCTGATCAATTCGACTTTTTTGAGGCGGGGAGTCATAGGCACAGCAGACTGCAGTTACCTCCACAATGGAATTGATTGTCACACTTTGATATTTTGCAGTCGTACTCACGACCGTATCGCAAGTGAGGCCATCGCAAGCACTCGGAGTAAATCACCACGCTTCTTTACAACTTCAAGACGTTCATGAAATGGCCATATGATGAACAAGTGACAAACATCTTCACGTTTCGATGCTGCCAGCTGACTGTTATATCACACTTTTTAAACTAAGGCAAACCTAGGATGACATCAAACTTGACATCCAATACTAGTTTGATAAAAGCATCTTCGTACTGCAGATATTCTAGCTTGTACTAAAGTCGCAATAAACGCTTCGTCAATGTTATCGTTGCGCCTGTTGCCAGGCGCACTGTCATCATGTCGGAGGGGTATTATGCTCAACAAAATTGATCCTAAGCTCCTCTAGCGACTGGCGATGAACACAGTTGTTATACGCCCCGTAGTCTACTAGGGCACGAATTGGAAAATTCTCTGTCACGATTAAGTCCAAGGTGATGAGGGGTACCTCATTACCAAGTGCAGAGACTCACAGTGATTGTAAGTCTGAAGCGATTTTATTCAACAGATTTGCAAATTATATTGAGGTTGCTAGATCAGCAAGGCACTCCGCCCCTACTGATCCTGAACGCTTTTTGACGGTCCGCTACGCTGTTGCGATTTCGTAACAGCGTTGGACCCGCGTCCGTTGCCCTTCTTGGCAAATGGTTTACAATTTCGCACGGTGTTTCGAGACTTTGGGCATAGGTCGCTACACTCGTTAGCGTGGTGTCCCGATTTCTGATGGTGATTGCAAATATGTACTTGCTTGTTGGTTAAAGATATAAATTTCGCGCTTTCAACATAAAAGAGGCTCAGAACACACGGACCTACGATTGCTTGTCGTACTGGGGGAAGATATGAACCCGAATTAGCATGTACTGTCTCAATCTAAAGTCTTTATGTTCAAAACTGATATCGCTTCTTCCAGCATATCCAATTTTAAGCAGAACATGTGAGTATTGACGGGATCATCCGCAAGACCCTGCATTAACACAGTGATTAATGTGTGCTCATGAACCGGGTTGGCCATATTAAAACTCGCAAGGAGTCGCATGTGTTGGGCGTTAATGTGCACATTAAAATTACACTGCTTGAATTTCGGGGCTCGGATCGAGCCCTGAACTCAGCCCTTGACGGTTTAAACGTTTGTTTGAGACGAGTTTTAAAACCTCCGACGACCCTAGCACATATGTGTCGGGCAATCTTAAGCATTAATGCCCACGTTTTGGCACGTCCAGCCAGGTTCGACTAAGTGAATGCGACTTGCATTTGCTTATCGGCTATGTGAGAGCCCTTATGGCGTCGTCCAACTCGACGAACCATCTCAGCGGGGAGTCTTCCATAATTACTTTGTACTTGAAAATAACCATCATTAAGTTTCTAGTTGACGCGAGTGTGTCGCCCCGAGAAAAGCAGCATGTGCTGCTGGGTGTCTTATTAGTTTAAACTGGTGAGCATCTTGTTCACTCAACAGATCTGCCCTGCTGAGAACCTGACTAGAAGCAAGCAAATTTCTCCCGTGACTCGTCAAGTTCATGTTGTATGACTTTAACAAGAGCGGCATGCTGCCCATCTCTGTTTAGTGCGGACAGCATGGCAGAGACGACACGTTTGACAACGATCAAACCTATCTGTTCGACCGCACTCTATTCGATGTCGCTTAAATAGTAGTGTATTTCACGGTTGGTGTAGCGGATATACCACAGCTCTAAATTTAGAAGAAGACTTTACGGGGTTAAGCCATACGCTTACGGCTAGCAGCCAATTATTTATGAGGGCTACTAGCCGATAAGTTTCAAGGAACGTGTACATCAAGTTAAATACTCGGCTAGTTCTACGGAACTAGCGCAGACTCTATGAGCTATTAGCTGAGACCATTGTAGTTCTAAGGAACTACACGCACAATGCGCAAACGGGAATGCAGGAGTCTAAGGACTCTCGGACCCACGACAGCTCTACGGAACTGTCAAGCGCAACGTGCGAAGGGGCACGTTGCGCGGGGGAGCGGAAGTCCACGGACTTCCGCTCAAAATGAGAACTGAATTTATTTAGATTTTGCATCAAGAAAAATTCCGCTTTAAGTACCCAATATTCGACTAAACTAGAACTAATGCAAATATCAGTATTCGAACTAAGTGGATGGTTGGCACATCGCTCAATCATCAAATGATGACGGTACAAAGTGATTCCACGGTAATAAGCGTAACTCAGAGAATGCCGACTGATCGGTATTCTTTATTGATATAAAATATGAGGCCACACCTGTCTATTATATTACGTATGGGAGGTCTTCAACCGATTTATCCAATGGCTAGTGTGACCCCGTTACGTCCTCCCCCATCAGACTGACGTTACCACAAAACGTCACTCGACTTGTCTCCTAATTGGGGTTGTAATAGTGTAAATTGTCATCATGTACCGACCGGGACACCTAACGGAAGATAAGGCTCAAGCCGAATGCCTTGGTTTCGAGATGTGGACGATAGCAGTGGTAGTGATACCGCCAATTATGGAGAGGATAAATCTGAACCCAGCACATCTGTGCGTGACCGTATCTCACGTCCGGTACCGAATCTGTTCCATTAAACGTGGTGCCGTGACTGCGCTAACAGCGCTGGGTACGATGCCTACCATGGAACCATCCATCATCAGTAACCAACTCGATGAGGAGCAACAACAAATACTCGATAAGGCGGAAATCTTACGGCACAAGTCATAAATTCTGACCACATTGCAGCGACACCCTGAATACACAAATATTCGTCATGACGTAGAAGAACGCATCCGTCATCCAGATGGTTTGGCAGGGTGAGTCACTGGCCCCGAGGCGAAAATGCCCACCGAAATCGAATGCCGTAAGGCTTTTTGGGAAAGGTGATTGGAACCTACTGACATGACCTTGAGTGAGTTTCGAGAAAGAATCCAGAAGCAGGTCAAAGGCACACCTGTTCCACCGATAAAGGGTATGCCCGTCTTGATGTCTGAGTGTGAGGATGACGTCTCAGAGGATAGTGTGTTCATACGCTGGGTACATGGAGTTCGACGCCTCATTAGTATGATAGCTCTCAGAGAAAATGCCAGTGTGGCTGACGTTCGTCGGGAGCGAAAACTTTGCTACGACTTTGCGAAGTAAAGGCCAAAGGCCGACAGAAGGGAATATATCATTCCCGCTATGCTTCGGCTTCTCCTGAAGCCGCGAGTTCACGTCAGTATTTTGACACAAACCCGCCCGCTCTCACTCTGACTAATGAGATGCGTAATGCTCGTCAAGACGAGCCTGATCGTGGCGCATAAAAACGGTTACGGCGTACGGTCAGTCTTGCCGAAGGGGTATCTCATGCTTCCATGAGTTCTCAGACTCGGTATACCCACGCCACTTCACCAGGTATTAGTAGTTGTCATGAAAAAGACGTCGTTGAAGTAGATTCTGTACATGGAACTGAAGGTTCTCTTGTCTTTCAATCAACGCCGATGGCGCTCGGTGTATCGTCCAAAAGCCACTCGAGTCTGTTGAAAGATGTGAGTAGCTTCCGTGAGACTTTTGGTCAAACCCAGCATGCTCTGAATGAAGCGCAGCCTCATCTGGAGACGCTCGAAGGCGATCACGCCCGTCTTCAGACGATGGAGACACGTCTGACTCGTCTTGAAGCACAGCTTGATCTCTTGATCCGGATACAAAATCTTATGGCAACGCCATTGTACGCGGCGCAAGCGCCTTCAAGTCAACAAGGGATGGATCCCGGTACGGCTTAAGCATGCCAGCATAAAAGACGGGGTGATTACGCAATTTGTGCGGTAAGCTGAGCGCATACGCAAGACCCTTCTTGGCAACGGCAGTAAAAGGTCCCATGAAACGTGTGCGCAACTTCGTCTTAAAGATAGCAGAGACTACATTCGTTGGTAGATATTTAGCATTAAGTAAAAAAATTCGCCGTCTTCATAACTTAAAAAAATCCGCTACCTTTATATCTACTTGTTCTTCTTGTTTATCTTGGCTTTAAGCTATTGCGTTCCGCACATGTCGTAAGACATTCACCTTTGTTGCAAGGAACTCGCCAACCTGTTTTTGAACAGTGGAAGGGCTAACGCCAGCAAGACCATCGGCGACCCCCCCCCACCAAGCACGGACTCAGGGGATGGTAGCGTTAACGGAACGCGGGGGGGGGGTGTTAGACCGTTTACATAGAACGGCGTGTAACCAGTCGAGGCATGAACTGAGGTGTTCATGGCAAATTCGATTACCGGGAGCTTGAAGCTCTAACCCCAAGGAGAATCAGCGCACACGCTGCGTAAACTAATATTAATAACACGATTAACACTCTCGGTTTGACCATTGGTTTGCTGATTCTTCGCTGTGGACATGCCTAACCTGGTGTCTAGCGCCTTCAAGATGAAAGTTCAAAACTTGCCAGTGAAATGTCGATCACGGTCTGAGACGATTGCCACACGCAAACCATGTTGACAAAAGACTCAGTCATCAAACAGCTGTACTGTACGTTCACCATCGATCGATTCCGGCAAAGCCGCTAAATAAGCCATCTTGCCTAAACGGTCAATGATGACCACAATACCAGTGTTGCAATCCGAATCTTTCGGTAGGCCAAACACAATGTCCATACTGTTGTACTTCCAACACCCAGTGGAAACAGGCAAGCTCGCTAAAGGCGCAGCTGATTGTGCTTAGAATTAGACCCATTGACATGTTTCAGATGTACGCACAAATGTGCTCACCCATTTGCACAATTTGAACCACCAATAATTTTGGCTAACCGAGCCATACGACTTTTCTCGACCGAGATGACCGCTCAAAGCAGTATCATGCGCCTCAAAGAGAATACGATAATTCAGTTTCGTATCATGAGAAACTACAATGTGCAAAGTATTCGCCGCATCCGTGCTTTAGCACAGTAGGCCATTGTCGAGAAAATATCGATGTAGCCCGCACGCAATCGTGTCTACAAATTAATGTTTGAGGTTTTGAACTCATCACATCCTAGTGCGCGCAATAACGCGACACATTGCTCATAATTGGTATCAGCCGCACGGATTAAATCAGGGATAGAAGACGACAGAGTCGTAACATGAGCAATCTCACAATAAGGCCTGCGTGACAAAGCATCAGCCAAATCATTTTGTATCCCTGGCTTGTACCTACCTCGAAGCTATAATTCGGAAAAGAATGACAGCCAACGGGCCATCCGTTGTGAGAAGTAAGGCGACTGTGTCGCAGTGCGTAACGACGCGTGATCTGTATTGATCACAAAAGGCTTTGATTTAAGCATATGCACTGTGAATTTTACAAGAGCGTAAGTCATTGCCAGTAGCGCCTTGTCACGAAATCGATAGTTCTTTTCTGCAACTTTTAGCTGGCATGACTCATACGCGATGACGCGTTCATTTTCATCGTTATCTTTCTGATATAATGCACTGCCAATGGCAAAATCGGACGCGTCACAGACGACGCTGAAAGAACCCTCAGGCTAAGCCAAAATTGGGGCATGAATAAGACTATCCTTGACAGTTTAGAAGGCTTGAGCCTGGACTGTGTTCCGACAACAAACCGCATCCTGTATAAGGAGGTTCGTTAGTGGCCTTGCCATATCAGCGTAATTTGCACTGTACTTGTGCAAGTAATTAGCTAAACCGAGACATTTTAGCAAGTCTTTTTGGTTTGACGGAACAGACCAGTCAACAATTGACTTTACCTTCGCAAAATACCCGCGCAGGATGCGCTTCCCAATGAACACCCTAGGAAGGAAATTTCATTAGCACCAAAGATGCATTTTATTGCATTGCATACAACTTATTAGTGCTCAAGCATTCGAGCACTGCTCGTAAATAGTCTATGTGATTCTACACATCTGATCTTCATTGTTCCACACGGCTATGGACATGAATGTCGTCAAAATAGCTTTGTGCATATGCTCGGTGAGGTAGGAACAGATGCTTTACGAGACGATTAAACATTGCGATGGCGTTAGATATCCCTTGTGGCCTTACAAGCCACTCCCAAAGCATTTGACTCGATGTACTTACCGCTGTGAGCGGCATATCACTCGCTCGCATGAGCAATTGGTAATACCCGTTGACCAAGTCGAGTGCACTAAACATGGTACATCCTACCATATTGTTCTGAAGAACATCCTTTCTAGGAATGCGTGTCTGTGCCGGTTTAGTGACAGTGTAAAGATTACTGTAAGCGCGCACAAAACGCCACTTACCATCAGGCTTTCTGACACAAAATGTCGGTGTCTGATGCGGGATTTGCTCTCCCTTGCCATGCCTGCCGCGTGCTTTGCACGAAAAAACTCGTCAATGACATCACACTGTTCTTTAGGCAACGGCCATTGCCTTGTAACACCATATTTGGTCCCAGGTACGAGGTCAATATCATGACACACATCTCTGTCGGGAGGTAGGGTAGATGGTGGATCATTATACACCACATCCTAAAATACCCTAACTAGGGAGTAGAAAAGATCCAAAGGGTTTTTCAAAATAGCATATCCACTGCGAGCACTGAGCGCAACTTTTATGTCCTCAAGGACTGCCTCATCCATAAGGGATGATAAGTTCAACTCTAGGTCAAGTAAAAGGACAATCATATCAGAAAAAGTACCGGCCCTCAAGGCCTAATAAAATTCATTTACAGACATATCGTCTAGATATAAGAGAGCGTTAAGCGATAGGAGGGCATCGGGGCCAACTTCTTTATCAATATCGCCCGTCACCCGATGACCATTGTGTACGACTGTTCATTGGTGTCCTTTTGGGACATGGCCGATGACATTCGTTTTGCAGCATCCATATGGCGCTTTTGCCGTCTCTGCACTGAGACTGAACACTTCAACGAGTTAGGAACATCCGATTCCACGAGGTGAAGATCATCTCCAACCTTAACTCGCTCTATCTGAGAGCCAATGTCATCACCGACATTTAGTGTGGCGCCATCGCGGCCGACCACACTCTGTAGATTGTTTTCCACAAAGTTCGCATCCAATGAGCATGGCTCTCGGTGCCTTTGCGCATTTTCAACAATGTCATTACTGGCATTCAGTGTCGTGCCATCACGGCCGACCTGACTCAGTGAATTATCCTCAACTGTACTCGCATCAAATGAGCATGGCTCTCGATGCCTTGGTGAATCACTAAAAATGTCATCACCGACTTTTAGTGGGGGCCATCATGGCCGACCTCAGTCAGTGTAGTACGTGCCACTGCACTTGCACATTCGGGGCTAGCCCTGGATGCCTTGGCATATTGCCAGCAATGTTATTACCGACATTCAGTGAGGTGCCATCACGGCCGACATACTAAGTGTAATACGTGCCACTGTACATGCGTCACAGAATTGACACCCAAGATGAATGGATTCTAGGCCATCAATGATACTAGCCTACAGTGATTCACTATTACCAGTGTCACTCACTGGAGTACGAGCTGTTTCTCTTTTGTCAATGACATCACTGTTAATTGACTCAGACACTCTGATGTCCAGCACACTGACATACTCAGTTAGTGGCTCGCGCCAGTAGCGCTTTTGTTACCTAGCAAAAGTGGGTTCATGACTTCCCTAATCTTCGCTGGGAACATTGCGCGTGCGCCCGAAGTCTGACCTCCAATCAATGCATGGTTCATAGCGTTCCAGCCAAGCCATCTCAAGGATGAGATCACATCTCAAATCCAAATCAAAGACAAGACGACGTCCGATACTATCGAATTCTAGAAACTTTACGCCCAAGTTCAATGGAACTTAAGGTATGGTGACACGAGTACCTGTCGCTAAGAGAACAGTGATAACATCACCCTCATGCGCTTTGAGCGCCTCAGCATACTGCCGACATTTCTAAAGGGTTTGGCGTCGAACATAGTTGCCCAACGCCCCAGAGTCAATTAATATTGACCACGGCTCTTCAAAGCCCTTAATTTTAGCCGCGGTAACTATCAACCCTGGCTTATTCTCACGCCTCGTGGATTCCTCCACGAGTCCGTCTGGGGATAAGCCCTGTATATCTCACCACCAAAAGATTCGGCAGAGCCTAGTTCTTCCCCAGTAGGGCGCCCGTGCCTACTGGGAGTTGACATTTCTCTGCTCCGTAACCATCTTCGGTTAGGAGACGGATTGCGGGTCCGCCGACTTTGACGCGGCTTTCGCAGCAGACACTGTTAAATCAAGTGTTTGGTGCTCCCGCACGTGTGAAATCTACGGATGTTACGTTGCTGTTCAATGGCTTGAAGCTCGTTTAATTCTTCTTCAGCGTGGTTGAGGTCCACGGTATCAGCTCCGTCAAACGATCTTTGGGCATGACCATGAGTGCCATAGCGAGCGGCCTTAAGGCTGAACTCATCGTTTGACGCTTTGTCGAAAGCCTTTTCAAACGTTGAGGGGTGGAAACGTAATACTTCCATCCTCGCGACCCCAGTACAAAGTCCTTCCATAAAAATGGTGACACGGACTTCTTCTGAAAGAGGGTCCAGCTATTGGCAGCTACGACAGTTTGCAACTCCTTGACGAAGTTTTATTATTCCTACTTTAATTTCCCGGCGGTAAGGAACCGGGAGAGTACACGGTACGCTTGATTTGGTGGTGCGAACACCCGAGACATCTCTCGGTTAAGCGATTTCATATGGGAAACGCATCGTCTACAGACGCATCACACGTTTGAGCCCATTCTCTGGATCTAACATCTAGTTTCGAAATGGCCAAGCCAACTTTCTGTTGCTCAAATTGGAGTACCGCGGCAATAGTAGCC